TTAAATTTTTCATTTTTAACTTGTAAAGCATCTGTAACTGTGATTCGAAAGGTGCTATATGAATACATATTATATTATATTATATTACATTATTATTCGATATAGAAAGCCTGTGAAATGGAGGGTATTGTTTGTGAAATTTACATCCATCACAGAAAGATTCAAGAAGATTTATTGACATTCCCAAACATGAGGTACATGAGTACTAAGTACTGATGAGCCGGTATGAGCAGCAGTGATATAGAAACACTATAGAATGTATGGGCAGAAGCAGCAAATAAACACAATGAAATAAAAACCAAAGAATCTCAAACTAAAACAAGGATTAAAAACACTGCAAATTAAAAAAGGTGCAAATGAGTCTTGATAAATATGAGTATAAATATCCAGGTATTATTACACATGAAGGAGTCTGTAGCAAGATTGGATTTACACACATATAATATATCATTCGAAATGTTGTAAATTATAATATTTAAAGTTGTTGTGACGCGGTGGTGACGTCACCTCACCTTTCCCTACCAGGAAGTGACTGGGACACACACCCAGAGGAAACAGAAACTTATTTCCACACTTCAGGAAGGTGAGTGATCTCAGCGTGTGTCTGATCCCTGAACTACAAACCCTGTCTTATTCAGCCACTTCTTCTTTTCACCTTTAACTCGACACGTTGCAAACAGGAACTGAATTTAACGAGAGATTCAAACCAACGTTACACGACGCGTCACGACAACACGTCGTCGTTAATGGCGGTGAAAGTATTAAAAAAAAAAAAACCTGTTAAACTCCGTGTGACTTCTTATTGAACGAGTGTGATGATAATGTGGAAAGAGTGAGAACACACGAGCAAAAACACATGAGGAAGTAAGAGCTTAATCAAGTTGTGTTGTTGTTGTTGTTGTTGTTGTTGTTTGTGTGTTGAACAGCCTGAGATGTTGAAATGAAGGTTGGTGGGAAAATTCTCGCGCATTTTGAATCGTGCAACTCACCTGTGGACAAGGAGGGATTCCTGTACAAGAAGGTAAATCACACTCCAATCCAGGAATATGCACATGTACATCAAATTACAGTTTTCTCTTTTATCTATTTTATTTGAGTTTTATAGTTTGTGAACCTTTTCCTACCCGTGGTTGGATAAGGCTGGTCTGAGGCACTAATCGTGGCAGCACAAGATCCATAGATGCCAGGGTCGACCACAAGGTGCCCCAGAGACAGTCCAGCACATAGTGGCAGGGTGTGAGATGCAGGCTGGGATAGCGAGCAGGAGCATCTGTGCGGAGTATGGATTAGAGGGGCCTGAGTGCCGATGGGATATACCACCCAAGCCAAGGTCCTGCGGGACTTCAGATTCCAGCTGCTGGCCGACCAGCAGGAAACAGTGGTGGTGGACAGTCATAGATGTGGAAATCCCAGCAGACAGTAACGTCAGGCAAAGGGAGCGTGAGAAGATTGAAGGGCAGAAAGAGCAGCTAGAACAGATGTGGAAGGTGAAATGCAATGATCCCTGTGGTAGTGGGATAATTAGGGCTGTGACACCCCCCCCCCCCAAACTGAGGGACAGTCCCAGGTACTGTCCTGAAAAGCACAGTCCTAGGAACAGCTAAGATACTGTGCAGAACCCTCAAGCTCCCAGGCCTCTATATATGACATGTCAGCCCTAATCAGTCAGATAAACGTGCATAAAATGAAATCGAATACAATACTAGAATTGGTTAGTTTCTACACATAGACAATCATTCCATTTCCATTTTTTAAATTCTTGCCTCTGTAGTTTCCTGACAGTTTCTGCAATATTTAACCTCCCTGTTGGCTGCTTACTTCACCGACACAGTTGTGTAAGAAATTCAGTAAATGAGTCAGTTACACTCGATTGTCACACAGGGTGAGATAAAGACTTCCTATCAGAAGCGCTGGTGTGTGCTGAAGGGGAACCTCCTCTTCTACAAGGACCGGGCGGGCGACCGTGACCTGATAGGAGTGATTGTTCTCGAGGGCTGCACCGTCCAGCTGTGCGAGTCCGAGGAGCAGTTCGCCTTCTCGCTGGTGTGGAGCGAGCCGGGGCTGCGGACGTACAAGTTCGCTGCAGAGGACCAGGCCAGCCAGGAGAGCTGGATCAAAGCCCTGCTGTCGGCCAACCACAACTACCTGGCGCTTCTCGTGATGGACCTGGAGAAGAAGTACAGAGGTGAGAGACAGAAAGCTCCGGGTGTCTTTATCTTTATTCTGTGGGTGAAAGAGAGAAGTCTTTGTTGAGGAGAGCAGCTGTGGGAGGCGTTGCATCACTGTTTACTGCTCCACAGCAGAGACCATGTACACTGTGGTACAGCGTTAAAAGTGTTGTCAGTCATTGGTTGCAGAATTGGTGGTTTCATGTCTGCCTCCTCTCGTCAAAATGTCTTTGAGAAAGTCCCAGAACCATCTGCCAAATTAAAACAGCAGCTTCAGTCTTTCTGTTGTTGTTACTTCAGCTGCTTGATCATTTGTCTCTGTTTCTTTCCTCAGATGCTTTAGCTGAGTTATCCAGCGAACCAGCCAAAACTTTCACGATGCCAAATTTCAGCCAAACAGAGGCCGGATCCTCAGCCGCCTATCAGAGCAGACAGTCTTCATCGCTGCCTTCGTTCGCAGCACCAGCCGCCGTGGTCGCAGCACCCGGGCTGAGCTCCGGTCCGACCCTTCAAACTCCGACCATTTCATCCAAAACAGCCAGTAAGAGATCACCCAAACTCTGGACGAAGAGGAACGCCAACGTGGTGCCGATTAACGCCCCTGCTCCGCCCATGGGGGAGTGGTCAGCGGTGTGCTTGGACCCCAAGGAGGAATTCAGTAAACTGCACGAAGATTTTGGAAGAGAGGTCAAAGAACTGATTGTTAATTGGTCAAAACGAGGACGAGTAGGTGAAGACGTTCAGGAGGAGAACTTGATAGATTTTGGATAAGTTGACGGATGTGGCGTGTTGTGGGTCTAATCTTAAATTTCAGTAACCATGGTAACATTGCAAAGGACCAATGTAAATAGGGTTTACAAATTTTAAAAATATTTTAAGATATAGTTTATATATTTATGGTTGGAGAGAGAACATACTGTTGTTTTTTACTATGTGATAGAGTCAATAAATGATCTGTGACCTGCTGCCCTATTGACTTTCACACACACCATACATTTGTATTATTTTGTCATCAATAGCAATAAGATTTAAGTCCTATATATATATATATATAGATTTAATGACAATGTGACAGTGGTTACAACACCTCACGCAACCTTTACTCTGGAGCAAAAATTCAATAAAAAATAAAGTGACATTTATCTTGATAATAATGGATATTGACTGATTTGAATTCTTTTATTTTGTTAAATAATGTTTGCTGATACTGTACATTTACCAATAGTCAGATGTTATTGATCCTTGAAACGACCAGTTTGTCTGTATAGGACTAAATTAGACTTTCAGAATAAAGCAGACCATAGTTGAGTGGGTAAAATAAGGCAACCAGTTGTATGGGGGGGGGCAGAGCAGGCCAAGAAGGGTGAAGTCTTGAATTTTCTCAGTGAGTCAAAATGGCTGAGAAAGAGAATGATGGGGGGTGGCGGAGCTATTTCAGTCTGTCCAGCTGTCTCGTTTTTATGGTCTTTGACTGAGCTTGGTCTCTTTCTCTCTCTCTCTGCGTCTCTTGCTCTCTTTTCACCTTTGAGCTCATACTTGACGCGGTCGCTCTCCTGCACGCAACCCTCTATGCACAGGCTTTCACTTTCTACTGATTCTCTGCAAACATCTCCATCAGATCAATATCACATAAACATTTGTTTGGAAGAATTAGTTCATATTTTGTGACTTGTATAAGTAGGTCTACGAACGACAGAGGAAACAGTATCACTGGCTCCCAATACATACCTTGGCTTCATGGTGGTGTGATTGATGGCAGCCTATGTAGCTCATATATGGAGAGAGGAGGTGGTCCTCCTATTCTAAACCAACTATACTGGGAACCTGCAGCAGCAGCAGCCAAAATTAGTGACCGTGGTGGGAAAGCTGCTCATTTAGTCCAATTACCATTTTGACTAATTATCTCAGAGATTCAGACGTCAGACATTTACAGGTGGATGTGAAGGATATTTAAAATCTGTCACGTGATACGAAGCTTAATTCTCGTTGGTGCCAAATATAAAACATTAAGTTTTTTTCTAACTGTGAGTTGTTTGGAACTTCTACCTGTGCACAAAATAATGAAAAACATAAACTAAGCAACCAGCAGGCTGCTTGTAGAAAAGACAAAAAGGTTTTTTTGTGAGTAAATTATCTACGATGGATTGAACAAAATGTTTCCACCGCTTGCGTCAGTGTTGAAATGTTGTTTACGTTTCTCATTGATGCGGGGTCACTGTTTCTTGAGGCCTAGTAGTAGTCGGGTGTCATTATTGGAGCGGGACCAAACCCTATCGGTCCAAATGATTTCAAGTTTCATGACTGTTTATAATCCCCGCTGGCCGCTAACGCTCTGTTAGTGAGCTCAAACCTCAGACCAAACCTACCATCTGGACAGGCGATGACTCCACGATATGTTAACTGTTAAGTGCACGTCAGCGCCTTGGGGAGATCAGAACCGTTAATTAATAGAAAGTCAGGTTGACTGTGGGGTAACCTTCCCGGTGCAGCAGCGGTAACCTGTCATCGTGCACTGGGTTTTGTTCTCTCACAGTGAATCAGAAATCAAAAATAGCCACGACAAAGACCCCTGAGGAGAAGAAGGGTATTGGGGGGGGNCGGTGAACTAGCGGCTCTCTCTGAGCAGTTAGCAAGATGAACGTCAGTGTTACTCAACACTTCAGCCATGAGAGAGGGGGGGTTCAGTTGTCCCTCAGCATGTCCTGTCTGTCAGTTTGGCCATATTAGTCCACAGATAACACCAAAGTCAGTCCTCTGTTGGCATTGAATTCACCTCATTCCAAGACTCCTGCAGCCTATTTTGGAGCATCGGTAAGCCGATCCGCCCCGCCACCTCCTCACTCCTCCCTCTTTCTCTTACTTTCCTCCAGCTCTGTTTTCCTGCCAAACCTGATGGTGCGGCTAAAGTTAGCCCCCCGTGGGCTAGTATATAAGGCCCCAAGGGTCCATTACTTACATGTCAGTCACATCGGCTTGGCGTAGGCTTCTCTTCTTGACCAACAACAACAACAACCCAAAAAACTTGAGAGATGGTGAGTGTGGAAGAACGGTCTCGAGGGATCTGATCTGATCTGATGAGGTGAAAGCATCACTGATGCATTTGCTGTCTGGATTACCGACATCCCACAAACATCTCTTAAGCTGAGCCTCCCAAACTGTGGATGTGGACCCAGTCAGTCTTACTTTAACCTGCTGGCTTCAGCTGACGTTTGGCTCAGGATGAAACTGTTGTGGGGATAACTGCCTTATCATCATAGTCCCCAAAGATTTGATTTAGTCGTTAACTCTAAACTAATAGATTTAAAATCTTTCAGTCTTCTTGCAAGGAAAACAAATCACCTCCTGCCCAGAATGTTTGATTCTTATGGCAGAATCAGAACAATCTAATACCTACTTTGGACTTTTCTTTATTTGTTTGAGTAATTTGGATGTAGAAATATATAAAACCTGCACCTCTGCATCCTTTTGTTTTTGATATCACAAAGAACGCCATTGACAATCTTTGTATTTTTTTAGAGTTTGCCAGGATCATTTTTTTTGGTTCATGTTTTGTTTGTTTTAATTGTATTTTACCTCTCATCCCTTTCCCAGGCACCCAAGAAGGCCAAGAGGAGGCAGCAGCAGGGTGAGGGTGGATCCTCCAATGTGTTCTCCATGTTTGAGCAGAGCCAGATCCAGGAGTACAAGGAGGTAACGTCCTCTTCCTCAACAGATCTCACAAAGTTTTCTAGCAATAAGATTTGAGGTCCTTTTAGGTTGTGAGAAAAGGGACATTTAGAGGCGCTGTCATTTGACCTCAGAGATAGGGTGAGGAGGAAGCTCCACAAAGATGCACACCTGATCGGTAGAAATGTCCTCGTCAGCCTGACAGGACAGTAAATCTGAGCTTTTCTGGTGACAGCAGTTACCTCTTCCCTGTGGCAGCTCAGAAATCCACCTCGGAGGCTGGAAACAGTCGCTCTGTGACCCCGCTGGAATGCAGCCCAACAGCTGGTGGACAGTGAGATTAATTCAAGCAGGAAGGAGGCGCTCAAGGTCCAAAGAACAAAGGCAAAATATAAGGTGAAAGAATATTTGGGGCAGGGTCAGAAGATTCAGTCATGAGGCATAGAGAGGGTAGGGGGGATGACAGCTGTAATCAATACCTTCTCCTTAAATGTCGCAAGGGGCTTGTCTCAAATTCCGAGACCGTTTTAACACCTTAGAAAGACAAGTGGTCGACCAGCTGCCAAGTCCCAAAAGGTTTCCAATGCCATCTTTGGTTTCACTGGTTGCTGCGCCCAGCTATGTGGGCCGAGAAGTGGATAACAGCTCCACATTTACAAGTTTGTGTTGGCAGGCTACCGCACGGAGATAATTATCACAAGCGATAAGGACCATGTGACAATTGTGAGGATCTCAGTTTTTACTTCTAATGAGCTAAGCCTGTAGTTTAAATGCGTCCTCTATCTTGTTCCCTGGCAGGCTTTCACAATCATTGACCAGAACAGAGATGGCATCATCAGCAAGGACGACCTCAGGGACGTGCTGGCCACCATGGGCCAACTGAATGTGAAGAATGAGGAGCTGGAGGCCATGGTGAAGGAGGCCAGCGGCCCCATCAACTTCACTGTTTTCCTGACCATGTTCGGCGAGAAGCTGAAGGGTGCGTCAACACAGATATTTAACGCAAATCGCATTATTTATTTTACTTGTACTTTATTTCATAAAATATTTGGAACCTCAAGGGGCACGTTTATCTTCTGATCGACCAAAAGGAATTCAATTTATATAATTTATTCTGTTTACATTGTAGGTATTATTTCTATTTCCTATTGTTTATCATTCTTATCGAATCTTATCAACTAATTGTGCCGTCTGATCTTCTAGGTGCTGACCCCGAGGACGTCATCGTGAGCGCTTTCAAGGTCCTGGACCCCGAGGCCACTGGCTCCATCAAGAAGGAATTGTGAGTTGTTTTTTGACTTTTATTCACAGCTTCATCGTCTCTTTGTCTTGAATCTGGACACGACAGCTCATGTTTATTTCTCCTCCGCAGCCTTGAGGAGCTCCTGACCACCCAGTGCGACAGGTTCACCGCTGAGGAGGTGAGCTGTTTGGTCTTTCTCTCCCTGTCGTGGTTCACATTCTGTAATTTTCCCCCAGTTGTTCAGGATTGTGAATCTTTAATTCCTCCTCTGCAGATGACCAACCTGTGGGCTGCTTTCCCCCCTGATGTGGCTGGCAATGTGGACTACAAGAACATCTGCTACGTCATCACACACGGAGAGGAGAAGGAGGAGTAAATGTTCCCTTCTCTCAAGACCTCTACCTCCGTTCAAGCCCCTTCATGCCTCACCATCCACTCCAGCATCCTGGCTTCCTCACACACGCTCGCGCCCTGGCCCACTCTTTCCACTTGCCAGCTCACTACGAAAAAGACTTGTCTCCTTTATTGAGATCCTCAGTGAGAGGACTGGAGGCTGTGGGGGTGTTTGTGTGTGAGTACCAACAGGGGGAACATGGGATTATTTTTCAATAAAAAATAATCTTGTGACACTGAAACTCTCTCTCCATCTCTATCCCTGCCTCTTGTTCCTCCTGCTTTTCCTCCCATCACTCATTCTGCTCCTCTGCATTGAGGCTGACTGTAAATGCATCATGCCTAAGTTTGTATGCAGTGGTCAGGAAACGTCTCTTGGGTGCAGTGGTACATGCACAGTCACTTGCTTGAAACAAGTAAGCAGCCTGACCCATGTGCTCTGTTAGTCTCAACCTGACACAGAGTGGTTGATGGGTTTGTCCCTGCAAATGTCCGAGGGAGGAGTGCACAGTGAAAGAGTGGGAGTACTGTGCTATAATAGTTTCCCTACCCCGACTCTTTTTAAATCTGCCTCTCTTATACACAGTTATACAAGGAGAAGTTGCAGCGAGAAGAGGAAAATAAATGTAAATAGAGAAAGAGATGGTGAAAGATGGTGAGCAGGAGGGAGGAAAGGAATAAACAAAAGTAAACCATCTTTGTTTTGGACTCTTCTTCCTCCCTCTCACTGGTGTTTCCCCTCCTGTTGTAAGTGTCTCCACTGTAACAAATAAAGAAACACAAATAAAATGCATTATCTTTCGTACGACATTGTGTCTCTTGGTTTAAGTGGGGGTGTCGGTGAAAGCTGGCTGACCGGGGACGCCACTGACTGCATAAGGTTGAGATAGGATCCTTTGAATTGTGATCAATAGTTCCAAATAATTTCTAAAACACGAGCGTGCTTAGTGCAGCACACTGAAATAACCAGTGTTTCAATAAACACATTCCAAAAAAAATCAAAAATCATTAAAAGAAAAGTTGCATTCTATTTTCAGCATGATTCTGTGGTGCTCTGACCTTTAGACACAGTTTATGGGTCTGACACTGGACTAAATCCTTTATTTTATTATTTTTATATTATTATTATTATTAGTATTATTATTAGTAGTATTATTAGTAGTAGTATTATTATTAGTATTATTTATTTATCATTATTATTATAATTGATGGTAAAAAGCATTAAAACAACCATTACACATATATTTATATGCAGCATCAGAGAAGCAACCAGTCACGTGACTTGGTGACGTAATCAACCGAAACCGATCGTAAAACCAGCGGAAACGAAACGTTCTGGGCTTCAAAATAAAAGCATGAAATAATATCTGGCACTGAATCTACAGAACGTGGAAGATTTCTTGTTTTATTTTGAACACACAAAGCGGAAGCAGTGTCTGTATGTATGTGTGTGTGTGTGATCAGGGGGCAGTGGACCCACAGTCTCGGTTCAACACAACCGGCCCAACTCGTCTCCACCGAACCCAACATGGCCCCGCGCTGACGAGCACCGGCGGCAGTGGAAGACCGAGCCTCGCCTCCGTGAGTCCTGCCCGGGCCGAGACCCACCAACCCCGCCGCCATGGCCTTAGCGTCCCCCCGCTGCACATCTGTCCGACCCCCCGCTCTGCTGGCCGCGGTCGCCCTGCTCCTTCTCTCGGCGACCGCCGTTCGGTCCTCTCAAGGCGACAAGGAGCCGGTGTACCGGGACTGTGTGAAGCAGTGTGTCCGGACCAACTGCACCGGAGCTCGGCTGCGGGGCTTCCAGTCCGCCCAGCCGCAGTACATGGCGCTGACAGGTGAGAGGTAGCTGCCGCCAGGTGAGTCAGGCTAACTGAGCTGGCTAGCACCCTGGAGGCTACTGTACCCCAGAGATGATGTGTGTGTGTTTACATTTATTACACGTGTCAGCTGAGGGCTTGGTGTTCCCTGAGCTCTCTGCTGGAGCTGCTTCGTAACTCACAGCTTCTGGTCCTCACCTCTGATGCTGCAGGAAACATGTGCTGCTCTTTGATCAACTGTTGAAACTGTCAATCCAGTTTTTCAGGCTGGGTCAGGTAAAGGCCCATTCAACCTGCTGCCATAGTTCATCATTAACAGTTGTTACAGGACATTAAACCACATCGAACAACAGAAGTTTAACAGAGAGACTCTTATCTGTCAAATGCATGTTTCCATCTGTACTTGATGTTTAAAAATTGGACTTAATTCTCAGCAAACAAACTAAAACAGAGCTGATCCTGTATCATCTGACCACAATCAGTCAATCACAAAGTTATGTTTAGTTCTCAAGCAGAAACTCTCAACCTCCTGTTGTAGTGAATGTAATAACAAGAAAAATATGTGCCTCGAAATATAAATCACAATACTGTGCTGGATTTTTAATAATTATATTTGTTTTTATTTCATTCATATTTGTCTATATTTTATATATTTCCTTACACTTTTTTTGCTTGTTACTTATTATTATATACTTATTATTAGTTACTGATTCCTATTTTTGACCCTTGCTGCTGAAATATTGCAAATTTCCCCATTGTAGGACTAATAAAGGATCATTTTATTTGATTTTATCTGTAACTTGGACAAAACAAGCAATTAGAAGACGTCACCCGGAAGTTGCGATGGCCCTTTTTCATATTTGACCCTAAATAAATATGTATATCTTATATCACCAATTATTTGTTTTGCAAATGATTTGTTGAAGACGTAAGAGGATCTCTGACCCCCTCAGCATCTCTTTCGTTCCTGTGCTGCAGGTTGGACTTGCCGTGACGACTGCCGCTACCAGTGCATGTGGACCACCGTGGGTCTCTACCAGGCTGAGGGCTACAGAGTCCCACAGTTCCACGGCAAGGTTCGTGTTCACTACAGAGACCCGATTGTATATCGCACTGAGCTTCGCCACAAAACCTTAATCTGAAATCATTCTATATCGGACAGACCTGTTCCCTTGAATCAGTCGAGGATATATAGTTTTTAACACTGGTTTTGTCTAAAACATTAAGACTGAAATGTAAAAATATGGTTGATATATATTTTCTGTTTTGTTTTTTTTATAGTGGCCGTTTACACGCTTCCTGTGTTTTGAAGAACCAGCGTCTGCCCTTGCCTCTCTGCTTAACGGCCTAGCTTGCCTTCTCATGCTGCTGCGCTATCGGAGCACGGTGCCACGCCAGAGCCCCATGTACCGCACTATCAACGCCTTCTCTCTGGTGGGTCATCTCACAGAAATACACCGATACTGTTGTGTCTCTACATTAGAGTGTAGCCATGAAGTCTGGACATATTCTGGAGTTTGACTCTCACACATGAAGAAAGCAGCAGAAGATTGTTCTGGTCAGATGCATTCGCAACAATAGGAAACTGTGGGATATAAATTCAACTGTGGAAATCACATGTTTTTGTTTACAACACATCAACACAGGCGGTCGGGTGTTGTCGTCAAAAGCTCTCAAATCTCATTGTCTTTCCAAGTTGACACCTTCTCCAGCTCCTCATTTTCATCTATTTGTATTCTTTATGTTTTTGTTCAGTTTCGTCATTAACACGCCCCAATCACTCACTGAGAGTTTTTCCTGCTGTATTCTCTCACTCTGACTTTTCCCCTACATTTTACTAGAGGGCTGGCAGAAAAGTTTTGCAAAAAGTCGCAGAGTTCAGTGCATGTCTGAAAGCAGCTTATGTAACCAAGGCCTGTGTGTTTCTTTTCTTTAGGTGTCTCTCAATGCCTGGTTTTGGTCCACAGTGTTTCACACCCGGGACACTTATCTCACTGAGGTAATGGTTCTCAGGTTCTCAGAGTTTCTTTACGTTGATGCTGCATCCAGTGAAAATCATTAAAAAAAGGAAGTTTTTATCAGCAACCTGTCAGCCCAGAGTTAGTGTAGTCAGCAGAAAGAGAGCAGCGTGGGCAACCCAGTGGAGATTTCTTTCACTCCATCTGACTAATGTGAATTTAATCATCTCTCAGCTTTTATAACTCCAGTTGGTTGTAATTATCACTGAGGAGAATATTTCTTGTGAGCAGGCAGCAGCTTCTCGTTGTTTATGTGGAGGCTTGTTGACAGCTGGGAGGATTCAATACTTAGACAAGCAAACTGAAACAATGAGCTAAAAGCAGCTACTTCACATTACAGGGGGCCAGTTAATTAATTGTTAATTGGAATTAAAACCTCTTAACTGCTGAAATGTCTTTCCCCTGCCATGCCATCTGCTGAGATCAGTGATGAGCAGTTTTATCAGCTAATTAGTTAAGCTAATCACTGACATCATAATGCTATTACTGATGAACCCTCCAGCTGTTTGCTCTGTATCTCCTGCAACATATTTCTCTCTGATCCTTGATATTGGTTTCTTCAGTAAATGTTTTTCCTCTTTCAGAAAATGGATTATTTCTGTGCAACAGCGGTCATTCTTTACTCAATCTACCTGTGCTGCGTCAGGTAAGCTCTAACACACGTGGATGCGCATGACAGATGTAAACTCTCATTTTGTGGACGATGGTTTGATATTTTGTAGTTCAGTCCCTGTTCTAAACTGTTCAACTGTTGCGTGAGGATCGTCTCAGTAAGCAGAACCTTAAACTGCAGAAGTCGTTGCTGTTGTCGTGATCGACCACTTCCCTTATGTTGATGAGTCCCGGCCAGAAACGATTAAATACATGATCAAACTAGATTGATTAGATGATTATGAACTAGATGATTATTTACATTCATAGAAGCAACTAATAATGTCAAGAAGCCTGAAAGCAAAAAGATGTGTTTCCTCTGTTATTTTACTGTAACACTTACTCCTGTGACATTATTTCTATTCACGCTTTTCTAACTTGTCTCTTTGCCAGAACACTGGGTCTGAGGCAACCGGGGGTCTCCAGCATGGTGGGAGTCCTGCTCATCCTGACCTTTACCTCACACGTGTCCTACTTGACCTTTGTCAGCTTTGACTACGGCTACAACATGGCTGCTAACGTCACCATCGGTACATCCTTTTGGTATTTGGTTTCTCGTAACAGCTGCTTTTTAATGGTTGTGTTATTTTGGGTCTTTGGTCCTCAAACGCTCCCTGACTCCACCTCTCTCTCTCTCTCTCCCCCGATCATTCCAGGTATGGTGAACCTCCTGTGGTGGCTGTGTTGGTGTTGGCAGAACCGGCGGACGCTGCCGTACTGGTGGAAGTGCGGCCTGGTGGTGCTGCTGCTTCACGGTCTGGCCCTTCTGGAGCTGCTGGACTTCCCCCCGATGCTCTGGGTTTTAGATGCTCATGCTGTGTGGCACCTCAGCACCATTCCTGTGCACTTCCTTTTCTACAGGTTCGACCAACATCTTTGTTTCACTGAAGAGAAAACATTCAAGGGGGAGAGAATAAAAATGAATACTAACAGAGAGATAAATACCTGACGATTGATCCTTTCTTTGCTCTTCCTCCAGTTTCCTGATCGACGACAGCCTCTACTTATTGAACACAGAGAAGATGGGTGTCAAAGTTGAGTAGGAGGAGCTCAATGCCTCTTCACCACGCCGACGCCCTCACACCCCTGCGACCGGGGCTGCTGGAAACCCAAACACGGAAGTAGCTCAGCCTCCCAGATGACATGCATGACACCGCTATGACTTCCATCGAAGTAGCCTTTGTTTACATTTTTCCAGTTTTTTTTTTTAAATTCCTTGTATTTATTTCCTTTTACAAAAAGAAAGAGAATTATCACCATCGATGCTTGTTCTACTTAACTTTGCCTTTTCTCACATGTGTGCTACCTTTCTGTTGCCATCGGTCGTAACCGCAAAACAGGTTGATGGAAAATGTTTTGTATTCTCTGCCACGGCAGAACCAGTTAGTGTCGCTGCAGGTCAATATCCTGTTTCCTGTGACTCCTTATTGTTTCTGAAATTGATCCCCTGAAACCATGTGTTACCTTTGAGCTCACCGTCACGAGCCTCCACCACACTTGTATCTGCACAAGCGGCAGTTTGCTGTCGCTGACAATAGATGGCACCAAATCACTTGCCAACCTGTTGTTAACCTGTTTCGTGCTGGTGCACTATGTGTCCATTTTTGCCAAGTGTGGACTGGCAGGCACAGCAATGGTAGTGTGGGGTTTTTTTGGGCGGGGGTACATGGGGGGGTCGGCTGGCTGCCAGCAGATTGATCTAGAGAGAGTGAGAAGGGGGTTTATGTTTGGAGGCCATTCTAGCTGACTGTGTTTTTTTTTTCTCTATTCTCACCATCACACCTTTATTTCAGTGCCTCTGTTGTTTCCATTGCTGCTTTTCTTTCTCATATTTGTCTTTCTCATTTTAGATTATCTTTTTAGCTGCATTTTTATTTCCACTGTTGTCCACTTTATTCTGTTGACACGTTTACTTTGATTACGTGACTTTTAATTTGGGTATATATATTGGGATATTTCTGATGATGATAAAAATGGAAATGTTATTTTTATTCACCTGGATTGCCTTTTAGCGTGAGGTAGGATTTATGAACAATGCAACAGGAAGTGTTTATTTTTCCTAATAAAGTCTGGAGGTGTGTGTGTGCATGCACGTGTGTGTGTGTGAGCGAGAAAGAGTGTTCATGTGTTTGACGTCCATTATTTTTGATTTGGTTGCATTTCCCGCTGCAGTATATCCCCAGAACGACACACACACAACTGGCTGCTTCACAGAAAACTGCCCCCTCATGTGAAACACTCCACGTCCCTCCATGCCTTACATCACAACTGCTTGTCAAAGAGCATGTTGGTATAAAATCAGTTTTTTTTGTCCTTCTCAGCAAAACTCTTGAGTTCCCACCATGTTCATCTTCACCCCTCAGAGTTTCCCCTCCATATGTGCACTTTATGGGGTTGTGTGTGTACTGCACATGTGTTTTTTTGTTTGAAATACTGCCTCTACCTTTGTATTCCTGTGTGAGAATGCCAACAATGACCACAATGTGTGTACATGTTGCCTTGACTGGACATTGTGTTGTTTTTGCCATGATACACTGATTCTGTGTGTGTGTGTGTGTCTGTGTTTGAGAGAGGGAGCGAGCTAGATTGTGCTCGACCCTTTTGTAATAGTACTGATGTGTAAGTGTGTGTGTGTGTGTGTTGGAAATTTGCTGTGTGAATGTGTGTGTGTGAGACGATGGGTAAATTTAGCTTTGCTGACAGCCTGTGAGGGGGGTGGGGGAAGACAGAGGACAAAAGACATGGAGAGGTCGTCACTGGTCCTGGTGGCGAAAAGGTTTTCAGCCTTAGGAGACAAGAAACACTAAATAGGTCAAATTGGCAAAAGTGTATATAATTGGTTCATGTTTATTGGACCTTTGTGAAATGGTGTCTAAGACCCAGATGAGACAATAAACACTGTAAAAGCAAAAACAAGAAAAGCCCATTTGAGCAAAATCTCATTTTCATAAAAATTCTAAAATCACAATCTATTCAAAACTGCAAATACTTTGTCTACTGTTTGAGAAAACAACTCGTTGAATAAATATCGATCTCTTTCAGGCGGAATTGGCATCAAACAAACTTTTTGCTCTGTACAATTCATTGTTCTTTCTTCTTCCCGACTCATCAGCACGTCCCTTCTCTTCCCCCACTCATCTGCTGCCTGCTGCCCTGTGCCCCACCACCTGTCCTCCTGAGTGAACTTTCCTCCTCACACTGATTATTTGACCAAAAAGACAAAAAGTCGGACAAATAAAAGTGTTTGTTGTGAAGGAATTGGACTCTCCTGTGTGTATTTTCCTTACATGAGGACGCTGGTTATGATGATGTGATTCGTCTTCAATTTCAAGTTGAAGTGCAACACCCACGATCTCATTTACACATAATGTAGACTCTCAAAGTACTAATAGTACTAGTACTAATCTTTTAGCAGAAAGTTGTGGCACAGGGTCTTGTTGGGGGGGTTTCCAACCATGGTGTTGCGGTCTCCAGGCCAGAGGATCGTGGACTGTGAGGGGGTTTTCACTGTGGACGAACATAACCAGCTGTTCTCAGGGGGGCCCCCCTCTCAGCTTGGTGCCCCAAACAACTGCCTGACAGCCAAAGCGTCTTGATCACCACCTGGTGGCCGCCTGCAGTATTGATCATACATTACACCTTCTCCATGTTTATGGATGGAACATGGGCAAAAGATAAAGACAAAATACCAGATAAACACATTTTAATGATATGTTCTGTAATTGCAGGTAGCTCTTATCACACTGATTAATTTGTTTGCTAAGTTTGGCTTTGATTAGTGATTTGATGCAATAAAAACAGAGTAAAACGTAATGATCGACAGCTGAGACTGAATTGTGATTGGTCGGTCGAGGGCTTTAAAAACTTGATATTTATATCAGGAGTGGGTCATCTCTACGGAGGCCGCCATGTTTTTTACAGTAGCCCAGACTGGACAAACTAAACCTTTTGAGTTTTTATGACAGCTGAAGGTTTCCACA